TTTTTTTTTTTTTTTTTTTTTGCAAATTGTGGTCAAGAGGATGGATATTGATTTGTTTAATTGATGAAGGGCTAGAAATAGAAACGCTCTAAAGCTATAAGTAAACCAGTGAAGAAATTTGCTTAGCAGTAATTCATTCTTGGGGTTAATACTGAAAAACTCCATATTCCCTGGGAGGTGCTACACTGAAACGATGACGGCCACTTCAGACTCCATGTAAAAAACAAAAGGGGGGGGGAGGTAAAGAACATGACATGGAAATTGTTGGACATTACTAGGCTAAGAAGTTTCCAAAAGTCTACTCCAGCAATAGAAATTTTTCCTATGGATAATTCAAAATAGAAAAGCTGTCAAGAATATTTGAAGAAATAATCCATCTAAATAAAGCCATGTCCTCATTAGTGACTTCATAATATCACCCAACCATCACTGAGATGATATAACTTGTCTCATTATTGTTATTTTGGCACAACAGTGGCTGGATGCCTCTAGAATCCAGAAGATGCGATAAGCTGCTATTGGGCAAATTACATAAAACTTCATTTGTTACCATATCAACACAATTAATTTTTCTCATGGTTTCCTCTCATGCCATCATAATAATCAAGACTAAGCCAGTTGGGTGAATTCTTCTCACCTCTCACCTCAGCTGAAAGGAAAAGAAAGATTTGTATGACTGACTTAACTCTATCCTTGTGATTCTAATCATCATTAGGCATGAGAAGAAGCAAAGAAAAGCAGCCCTTCTGTTTCTGTGAGGATACAGGCTGGCTAATAGAAATCTGGGTTTTTACAGCTGTGCCAAATCTGGGTTTTTACAGCTGTGAACAGGCACTTTCTATTGGAAAGCGATCCTGTTCGTTCACAAACCAAGGTAGGGCTTTCCAAAGAGTAAAGGAAAGAAATATTCCAGGTAGTAGGGAAGAAAGGCCAGAAAGCATGCTGGAAATTTAAAAATCATTTTCCAGGTTTTTGGCAGTTCCAGTTTGATGAGGTGGAAGTGCTTTAATTATAATAGAAATCAAAATATAATTTCCGACTCAAGGAAATAAAGAGGAGTTGAAAACATTTTTTAAATGTTACCATTGTTTACATTATGTTCCTTAATATTCCCATTGCTTTGTTTGCTATGCAGTAAACATGCTGCTTTCATCTTAAGAGACAGCTGGCCAACCGAGCGTAGTTTCTTCTTTCATTCTTCTAAGCAGTTCTAACATTAATTTTGCACCAATAAAATTTCTCATACTGTAAATTCACAATGCCCAAACCATAAGGTGTCTTGTTCACCATCTTGGGTTCCCAGGGTGGGGCTTTCTTCCATGACCAGCAGAAACAAGAGACTCCAACAATGGAAGCAACAGGACAACATGAAAAAGGAAAGCTTGGCTGCCCAATATACTTACTCACTTACTTGTAGGCTTTGAACATGTGCCTTGTGGAATTGAGGACACTAATACTGAGTCTTCCTCTTAACCAGGTGTTTGATTACCAGGCTAGTATTGGTGCTTATGACTTACCTTCTTTTCTACGTGTGAAGTAAGATAAAAATAAAGACAATAGGCCTGGCACTTGGATTCCTGGGTATCGAAGATGGGTAAGAAATAGCTCAAAAAGCAGTGCTTCCTTTATTTTGCCTTCTTATGAACTTTCCTTGCTACCCCTGTTATAACTCAACTGTTCTCAGGGTAATAGCAATTTTCACTTTAATTCCACAACTCTTTTTTAAAATGAAAAACATAGGAGTTGTTTTGGTGGATCAGAATCAAGATCCATCTCCCTGTTCAGCCTTCCCTGGTTGTGATTTAATGCCAGTTCAAATCAACTGCAGCTAATTTACTCAGTTGTCAAGGAAAATGGGAACTGTCATTCCACAACTTCTGGCACTGCTTCCATATCTCTGACATAACGCAACAGATTTCTCTAAATTTGCAAGACAAATCTGAAAAGACTAGTCTCTGATCATTCAGCTTGTTTTCTGGCTCTCACCCGCTCTCTGGTGTGGATTTTGCATAAATATAAATATAAGCAAACAAAAGGCCCTTCTGAGCTGCTAGCTGATCTTTCTCACCTGTCCTTCCCTCCCTCCCTCCTTCCTTCCTTTCGTGAGAAATTACCATGGATAATTTGAAGACCCTGATGGTACAGAACTCTTGAAAATGATTGTTTGCTTATTATTACTGGTATTTTTATACCCCCAGCTGAAAGTGACTCCTTAGAGTTTGGTCTATAGAAATTATTTTTCTATGGCACTGCAGTCACTCTATGAAGCAGGAAACTATGACAACAATTGGATGGATAGATCACTCTCAGGAATTGATTTCTCTGCTGGTATCACTTTGTTTGCATTGTCCTGCCTTCATTTAGAACAATGTTTCCCAACCTTAGCTAGGGAATTCTGGGAGTTGAAATCTACACATCTTAAAGTTGCCAAGATTGAGAAACACTTATTTAGATGACCAACAATCTTTCCAACCTGCTGCCCTCTACTGCCTTTGGCTATGCTTCCTGGATTCTGGGAGTTGAAAGCCAACACATCAGGCTGGGGAAGGCTGATCCACAGAATACAACACTGAACCTCCATTCAACTATTTAGCTTGCTCTGAATTAATAGGATAAAGGTTGATGAGAAAGAAAGAAAGAGGAAGAAATGTGGCTATTTCTTGTTTGCTAAGCCAGGAATTAAATGCCAGCCTGTTGTCTACCGATGTATATTTCGAGTTCCCAGTCTCCCAACATGCAGGAGCCTCATGCATGTAAACATCTTTTTGGTGCTTATATCATCTGGGTGAACTCATTGTACTTACAACCTGGCCAGTGCCTGCACCCTGCAACGTAGTGATAAAATCTAAGAGAGATTAAGATCATTATTGGCTTTGGGGATCTTAACAAACTAATTTTTTTTGCAATACATACTCAGAAAAAGATAAACATTCACCTTTTAACACTCTCAGAAGTCTCTCATTGTCTTGTGCATTTCAAAGGATTATCTCAACATTATAAAAGCAGGCAACTGCTCTAAGAGGGCTGCCTTATTCTTTCCTATTTTCAAAATCAAATTCCAAGCACAGCAGAGAAATAACAGGATATTTTCTGCCCATCTGCACAATCTGCCAGTTCTCCTTGATTCCTAAGCTTAATACCTTGTGTTCCCTACATGCAGAGTGTAAAGCATGTACCATTACCTATGAGCAATATAATGTGCAATTGGATGGCAAATTACATAGCTCCATCCACAATAACAGAATTAAAACATAGGCAGGGTAGCTGTAACCATGCTCACAGTTTGAAGACAAATTTGGAGTATTTTCTTCCACATGAAATGAAGAAGATATAATCTATACCCTTTTTTAAAATGGTGACTATCTTGTAGCATTCTTAAGATAACAGAAGAGAATGGTGCTTTTCTGCCTACATGAATTCACATGCAGGTAAGGCCGGAGAGTTAACAGAGGCGGGAGACATCAGAAGTGGGTTTAGTATTGGTCTCATAGATATTTCAATGCAATGCTGACACTGTTTATGGATTTATAGAGATTATGGGCTCCCCTGCTTGGCTTCTGTGATGGAGTATAAAACCATGAATAAGTCATCTGGTTTATGAAGATACTTCAAAAAGAAAGACAGGCACATTCATTAATATGACAGTTATTTTGTGCTATTTGCAGGCACATCATGAGGAAATATTTAAGTGGAAAGCAGAAATCCACCCTGGGTGTATAATTGAGAAGTTATCAGCCTGGGATGAAAATCTGAATTTTGTTGATAAATATTCAGAATAGTATATGGACTTTTATGGTCTTCAGCCCAGTTCTCCCTTAAGAGTATAACCAATTTCACCCTGGAAATAAACAAAAATCATAGCTGAGATATCTTTTTCTACTCACATCGTATTTTTGTCTCTTGATCTTCTCTAAATACTCATATTTTTCCATCTCCAGCTGATATAGCCAATCCCACAATTCTTTGGCTTTATCCCTATTTATTTGTGGAAAAGTAGAGATATAACAAAGAATGAATTTCATACATCCCATCTTCTGTACAACTCAAAAGACCAGGAACTATAGAGAATCAGTTTTACATAAGCTCAGTATTTCCTAAATATGAAGTGGCCAAGCTGGTTGGGAGATTATGGGAATGGAAGTCCAACACATCTGGAGAGTTCTAGTTTGTGGACGTAGTTAGTCCCCTGTGTAACTTCTCCTTATGAGGAATTATTTGAACACCTAAATATCAACAGAGAGCTTGACCACTTCATTACTTACCTTATCTCTGGATGCTTAATAAACAAACTGAAATGTCTTGGGCCCCGTACAGATATTTGGGAGAATCTTATTCTTTACTTTCCTCCTTTCAAATACATGTTCATTTATTCTTATTCCCTGCTTTCTGTTCATTGGTCAGTTGCCTATCCATAACAGGACTCCTTCTCTTACCTTGTACCTGCTAATCTTATTTAGGAATATTTCATGTGCCCTTCTGAGAACCATATCCATACATGTATTAACAGGAATGATTAAAAATATATGCAAAATGATTTCTCTTTACAAAAGCCATGCTCATTAAATAAGTCTTGCCTTTCTATATGCTTGAACATCTTAGCTTTAATAAGTTTTTTCATAAATTTATCTGAAGCACTACTACTTTCATGTTTTTACTATCATGAGATTAAAACCTCTTTAACCAATTTCTTCCATATTTAAAGAATATTGTATTGTTGATCTTACGCTTATAAATAAGATGGCCATCAAAATCTCTATTTTGCACCCAGACATTATTCCCAATTTTATTTTATTTGTCCTTTAAATGTAGAGGCCGTATCTGCTGCCCATTGTAGATTTTTAGTTAAGCTGTAATTTTAAGATGAGTCTTCTATTCTTCTTAAGATTTACTAATGTTGTAACTGCAGGCAGAAGTTATAATTTAATCTAGTATTTTTTGCACTATATTGGTTATTTATACATTAATGTTAAATGTAAACTCTATTTTGATACTGTTCATCAGGATTAAATATTCCAGGTTCTACCATTATGAAAGGAATAAAAAATTCCCTGAATTCTTATGAATAGCAGAATGTTGTTTTCTTAAATATCACCTCCTATAAAGCCCTACTTTAATACTGCAAAAAGTACTTAAAAAAAAAGCTGACTTCTTCCATTCCACACAAACTTAATCTTGTATGCAGTATTGACTGGGGGGGGGGATATATTTTTTTACCTCAGCTTGTCTTCACCAAGGTGGTCAATATTCAGAGGTTTGCGTCTCTCTGCCAAAATTTTCTTCTTCAGTTCCCTTGCAGTTTGTTTCTTTCCTCTCTTTTGATCGGCCTGTGAAGAAAGAGTTTAAAGATTATCACTGGATGCATCCCAGTGAAGGAAATGATGAAGAAAGTCAAAATTTGGCACATACTAGAGCAGTAATCCTCAACTGTAAAAGTGCTAGATCGCAATTCCTATCATCCTCTATCAATGCACTAGACATACTGGCTGGGGATGAGAGGGTTGTAATCTGGCATATTTAGATGCTATCAGGTTAGCAAAGTCCGCACGAAAGTCATCGTTTCCAAGAGTTTGCCAACATGCCTACTTTGCATGCCTTTCTGATTCAATGCAGCCATAAGAATTGTCCCTCATGGTTGAAGAACCATTAGAACAAGGCTCTGGGAGGTTGTGAGCCCAGCTACATACAGTAACAAACAAATCAATCTAACATGTTACAGGGTTCCCAAAAGTCTGCTTCCTTGCCATTCTTTGAAAAACAGCCTCCTCCCCTCACTCTTCACCCAGATAAAACTGCATTCCACCTTGGCCCTCATGGGTCTGTGGGCCTTGGCTTCCGCATAGGACAAACTGCTTACTACCCCTTGCCTCCTAACTCCATCTCACTCAGCTCAGGAAAAGGCCTCAAATGCAGTTTTGCTTCTCAGGATTTGCTGGGATTACTCATTTCCCAGGGCTTGCTAGTGTAGCACTAGGGTAAACCAAAGGCTTTTATGCTTCTTCCATGAAGGAAGAGTTTGTTAACTTGCAAAGCACTGGAAGCTCTCAGGGACAGGAAGTAAACTCAGAAGGATGGCAAGTCTGAAACAGAAAGACTGAAGCAGCCAGGCAGCACTGAGTTCTCAGGACTATTTGTTAGCTCACAGTAAACACATTTGGAAGCCATGAATAATGAGATAAAGAGACATATTTCATGAAATTCCATATGCAGAAAGGCTCTGCCCTTGTAAAGATGGTAATATTGAAACATGAACTTATGTTCTGCTGCATTGTAGCTTCTATTAAGACATGCATGAAGCGCTATTAACATCGCTTCTGATCCTATTTTTGGGACAGACTGAAGAAATTTATGTTATATTTTTACTGGCAGATAAGGACACCAAAGTAACTCTCACTGTTGAAAAGTTTGTTTTTGTGACTTGTAAACCTCGCATATTGCTGATAGCAAAACAGTACAAGCATGATTGTACATTTTTATCTTGTATGCTTTATTTTATTTTGTATGTTCTATTTTGTAACTGTATTCTGTATATTTTATTTAGTAAATCTTATTTAGTCTGGGTCGCTGACCAGTAATAAAGAATATGATTTGATTTGATTTGATTTGGTCATAGTGGGAATAGCAGGCTGGCTTTAAACTACATTGGGAATGAATCACAAATGGAACCAATAGTGACATTGGAAGAGCTCTTTAACACAAAGTGGTTTGCTTCATCGCAGACTTCCACACAACTTTCTTTCACAGAAATTATCTTACATAGGTAAGCTCCAGATGAAAAATCTGGAACAGCAATAGCTGTATAAATTCCTTTGGGGGGGGAGGGAATCTCTATCCCATATTTAAAAAAGAAGGGAAAAAACCCCCTTAAAACAGAGACTAGCGGTTCCTTCATGTGGTAAACTTCTTTGGTCTCTTCTTGAAAGTGAAAGGTTTTGCCATTGTAGAATTAAAGAATTCCTAGAAACTCTTGGATAACTTTCAGATCAGCAGTGCTTATCCCTGATCACATTCTGATTTTCTCTGCTCATTAGTAGATTTACCTTAGCCAAATAGCTGCTGTATGTGGCACCCATAGAGGACAGAGCTTTCTTCTTCTTCAGGTCATCTTCAGCCCTCCTCTTGGCATCTTCTTCCTCTCTTCTTGCCTTCTCCTCCTGTGAAACAGAAAGTAGGAACAAACTCTGCTTCATACCTGAGACTCACAAAGGCAGAGTAGACAATTTGGGTCTTGGACATAATTTTTTGGGAAGTGTGAAGATGAAGCCAAAAGTAATAACCACAACTCTTCACAGATAATTCTACATTCAGGACAATGAGATATCAATGAGAAAAAGCTGCAGATAGACTCACAGCAAGTCTGGCCTGACGCTCCTTTTCTTTCTCAGCTCGGATTCTTTGTTGATCAGACCTCTCAGCTCTACGCTTCTCCTATGCATTGCACATAAAAAGAGAAAAGGCAGTAATTTGATTAGAACTATATTCATGTAGCTGGCTAGAAAAAAAGGCTTTGAAAAATTTCCCTGAGGATGAACAGTCCAAACAGATTAAATTGCAATCAGTATTAAGATCACAAAAATGTTCTTAGGCTGATACACTGATGAAACACCTCAACTCAGATGCATCTGAGTCAAGATCAATAAAGTTATCTAACATCTATAATACACATGAATGCAGCTTTGAGACAGCACTACAAGAATTACTTTTCTTATGTCTCAAATGACCAATAACACAATTAGTGTAAGAATTATATACTATCCTTTCAAGCTATATGAAACCGACATATAGACACTTAGATGAAGACATGGCTACTCATAAAAATTCTCTCTTTCATGCAACTTATGGTCAGCAAAAAATATCCTTGGGTCCATTAACATTTCATTTGTCTTCATGGTCTATCCTCTTGGTGAAGACCTTACCATAGTCGACTACTTCAGGAAAACTTACAATTCTGTCTTTAAGGGCCATTAGTTCTTCTTCTTCTTTCTTCCGGCTTTCAAAGTGACTATCAATCAAAGCTTGAAGCTCAATCAAGTCTTTGTTCTGCCTTTTCTTTTGAATGTCCTGGAGAAAGAAAGGAGGGGAAACAATGTTCCATGATGCCAAGTATAATCATTGGGATGATATAGATCCCCCCACAGAAAGCTTTTACATATTCTCATTCATTAGAACCCCAATCAGTTATTTCTCCTCATGATTACGGAACTTAATCAGAAAATATTTTCGTAATAAGATAGAAACCACTTTCTTGGCTAAAATTTAGACTGGCAAGACAAGAGATTCATTGGAAGAACCAACAATACTCACATCAAAGTCTACTTTCTCACCCTCTGGGATCTTAGGTGCAGTCAACCTTTGTGGATGTTACAAAGAGAAAGGAAAGTATGTAAGTTCCAGAGCAAAATATTTCAGAAATAAAGAGAAGAGATGTTTTTGGAAAGATTTGCTTGTATGACAATTTAACTGAAATAAAATTTGCCCAAATACTATTAAAGAAAATCATAACTGCAGGATTTGGGATGTTGAACTCAAAACTGCTAATGGGTCTGATGCACTGCCTAGCAGCAATCATATTTTTCTTCTAGTACAAATTATTAATTCTACAAACTATCAGTTCCAATTCTATTAGATATAGAAGCATCAGAAATAGTTCCACAAGTTCTAAAAATTTGAATGTAATAATCATGACTAAGTTGACTTTTTGGTCTGTTGAAAGCATTGGCTCTCTAGAAATGAATCTGGATGAAGATGTCGTGTATCTCTCATTTCATTAAGATGTAGTCCTTTAAGATGGAAACCTAAAGTGTGATCTTTTTTCTGACATCCTGATTGACCAAATAGCTTGTTTGTTTGTTTTTCCTGATATAACTCTTCAAAGCACTAAATAAATACTTGTGCTGACAGTCAGTCTCCAAATTAATCTTCCCTAACTTGGTCCCTTCTAGATTGCAATTCCATAATCTCCAGTCAACAGGATCAACAATTGGACATTCTGGGATTTGTAGTCCCAAAATACCTGCAGACATGAGGTTAAGGACAACTGTTACGAAATATCCACTAAGATTAGCTTTCTGCATACTACTAGGTGGATTACATATACATCTAATTGCAGAAACTTCTTTCATATTCAAGGGAGATCTTTACATTTCATTCTAAGAGGAAGTATGAAGTATTTGGAAATTACAGATAAATATAGCCAGCTAAATGTGAAGGACACTGATTATCTAACTGGCCATCCTAATTTACAACACATGAACCATAAATATTTAAAACCAAAGAACTTTACAAGTATTGTTATAATATTGCTACATTAAACATCTCCTAAACTTACGTTGGTACTGGTACTCTGGGCTTCTTCTCTAGATATAGCAAAGCAGGAAAGAAGCAGGAGAGAAAAGGAAAAAAAAAAAGATGAAGAAAGAAACTAGAACAGAATAAATCCTATTTCATTTGCTAAAAGCAAAACACATCTAATTTTATGTAATTAAATATATTAATTACACTTCTGACACTTCATAAAAGCATACTCTCTGACAAACTAATGTTACTTAGAAGAGGAAGAATTCAGAAACATAAAAGAGCAATCTGCATGAAAGCTTCAGAATAATATTCAGAAGGCAACAATTTCCTTTAATGATTGCACCTAGTTTTCAAAATCTAGTTATCTTCAATAACCACATACAATATACATGAATTCAAAGAATTCAATAATGCAGTGATCTTATTGCCTTTTCTTTCTATTTTGGTTTTGTGGTGAGATTTCAGCAGTAAGAAGCTCACAGCTTCTTGGACAGAGTACTTTGTACATAGTCTAAGTTGAAAAAAAACTGATCGTTCTACTTCTGAATGTATAAAACACCTAAGGTATATGCTGTAAGTGACTGAAAAAATGTTATATCATCCATTCAGTTCAAATCCAATAATTTTAAAGCAAAACATGATTCTGTCCTTCCCCGTCTCTAAATGAAAGCAACATTTAATAGCATCAGCCTTAAAATAGAAAATTTGCTTTGGAAGGTGATAAAGCTGTGTAAGAATTGCCTGAAAATTATATGAAAAAAAAAAGATTAAATAAATATTGAGTGACTGACATTTCTTTTATCCAGTTTCTGAATTATTCTAATCAAAGCCAGCTCAGGAGCTGTGCAGAAAAAATGATGAAGGTTGAAGGGGAATGGGAAAACGAGATAGGAAAACTATGACAAACTACAAGAAGGTGACCCATAGGTTGAAAAGCATTGTTTCTTGGACAAAATAACTTTCATATAATTATGGCATGTTCCTGCTTTCCTCTTTCTTTTTACCCAAACTCCCATGTCTATTCATGTTTTTTTCTTATCTTGTTTCACCTTACCTATCTACTACATTCATGTGGAGTCCTTGGTGCTCTCTGAGCTTGGTTGTTTGCTTGCAAACATCTCATTACCCAACTAGGGAACATCATTAGTGACTCTCATGAAATATCTGCAAGCAAACAACCAAGCTTTCCACAGTTCAGCCCTGAGCTACATATATTCTCCTCTATTGGTACTAAATTCATGTTCTTGAATATGTTATATTATGTTCTTGCTTAATTTATTTTGCTTCCAAGCTTCCTTAACCTTTTAGGATTACCCAGCTGTTATCCTGGGTCATGTAGCTACATTAAATTTTAGGGAAGCTGAGTGCATCTGCTTAATCTTAGATTCCTTACAGCACTGTATACTGGGGAAACATTCTGTAGGCTGTCTGCATTTTCACCTGAAATGGCTTTTTAAAAAGGCAAGAGAAATAAATGCAGAAACAACAGTAATCAGTTTTTCACATTTATTATCCTATCTCCTCACAGAAGAATAGCCTACCAGGTCCTACCATTGCAATTTAATAGACTATGTCAGAGGGAAGGGAAGGGAAGGGAGGAAGGAAGGAAGGAAGGAAGGAAGGAAGGAAGGAAGGAAGGAAGGAAGGAAGGAAGGAAGGGGTTAAACATGAATTCATTATAATGCATTTGTTTTATTTGTTTTGACAACTGACTTTGAGATATGTGTCCTATTGGGCTAATATAAACATGTCCCACATTTGGACATTTAGGGAGATTGTTTGTTTTTCCCCAAGATGCAGTCAGAGGAGTAGCCCTGTTAGCAAGCCCTACTTAGTTCTTATTTTATTTGGTTTCTAGCCATTATTTCTTGGACCTTTAGGACATTTTCCATGAACGTTTGATTGTTGTTGTTTTTTAATTGTTTGTTTATTGGCTCCAGGAATAGAACACAGTATTTATATACCTCCAGAATATAAGGTAACAGTAAAACCAAAGAAAAATAAAAGTTAATTCTAATTCAATTTAGGTTAGGATATTTCTTTTTTAAGAAACTGGATAAAACATACAAGTATAGAATAATCATGGCAAAATCCTTTCTTCTGATGTCCTTATTTTATCTCTGTCGCATTCTTATATGTAAATACTCAGAGACATACTGTAATTCCTACACAAATCCTGCCAAAAGATAAAGCCCATCCTTAAAATAGCAAAACAGAAAAGTGGGAAATAAACACTGGAGCCTTAAAAGAAAGAGGAAATTGAAAGGGTATCATGTAAGAAGCCTTGATCTCTCCCTTCAGAATCTGAAATTTAGAAAGCAGCAAAACTCATCAGTAAAAAAAGCTGTTATTCTTCTTTGGTGTCCTTTTAATATTCTACTAAATCTAGAAAAGCTCATCAGTAGCATAATAAGTGCCAGACTATGGGTAAATGCTAAATATCTGTAGGTGTAGAGAGTAAGGAAGTTGATTTTGGTGGAAATTTGCAGGAACTGTTACCTAGGCAAAAGGAGCTGAAACATATTTTAAGTCCAGAACAGCACTTAGAAACAGCCCAGGCAGCTGCCTCCCCACCTCCCTGGGGTATAAGAAAGGGGAGGAGGGCCAGCACAGTCAGACTTGCAAGATTCTGTTATTATAGTCCATGTCAGTAAAAGTAGTTTTAGCCTTCCTGTGGAGTTGATTTCCTGGTCTGATCTACCTAGTGGGGCTGATATTAGGGGATTTCCTTCCAGTGGAAATACTATTTTTAAAGGAGATATTTTTTCAGGACCATAGCAAGTGAAGGAAGGGTTTAATACCCTCATGCAATCACAATATCTATTTTCTATTTTAGAAAATGCAAGAGGTGTATGAATTTAACACCATATCACATGTACTTTGGCCCTGAATCAGAGCTCTTTTTCATCTATTGGGAATTACTAATAGGCACTGTGTGTTTGGTTTCCATGCTATCTATGCAAATGGAAGAATCCATTTGTTGAAATGCCAGTAAAACTGTCCATTAGAAATTTGTCCTCTCCTATCCTTTTAGCCTTCATAATTCTGCCGAATCTGCTCCAAATGAATGCTCAGTCCTCCAAAATAGATTTGGAAAGTCTATCATTGGCAAAGGGAATTCCCTCTTCCTTCATTACTATCTCTGAAGGCTAGATTATACTCTTGTTGTTTGTCAACAGCCAAGACATTCTGACCCTCCTCAAGCATGTGCTGGTATGTGGACAATGATCTAGGCTATAAACTCTTGAAGTAGAGTCTTGCATTTTTTCATGCAAAGCACCCTGTTTATTCATGGTCCCAAATCCATAATTAAAATAAACATTTGTTGCTAGAAATATCCAGTAACAATTTCCCCAGTTTTATTAACACCTACCCCAACTCCATCAAAAGAAGTCCTATTATAGATATACATACATACATACATACATACATACATACATACATACAGTATATTCATCCTTGATAGGTTTTCATGTCTTGGTTATTCACAGAATAATTTATGGTATGTGCAGTCCAAGACATTTAGGACAGCTTGTGTGAAAGGGGGAGACTAAATTAGGTTAACATGCTCCCAGAGCAGCTGAAGGATGCTACAAAACTGTCTTTACAATGTTCCTTCTGGAGCAGAAACCAAGAGTTAATCACCTGGTCTTCCCAAGCTAGCTCCTCAGAAGCTCCGTATCACTGAAGAGACATTGGGGAGTTGGGCTGGGGGGAGATTGCACTAATCTGAAACTAATGAAAGAAGCCTTGGAATATATACCTGGCAGAAAAGAACAAAAGAACATCCAAGAATATGGGTATGGTAACTAAGCAAGGGTTTTACCTACTGCCTGCAAACAATAGATCACCCTGACATTTAAGAAACTGCTTTTTTAAAAACCCTCTGGTTTCAAAGACTGTTTGCCATGAGATATGAAAAATGGGCTGAGATACATTGGCATTGTTCAAGAATAAGAGGAAAAAGCTATGATAGAAATAGAATCCCCTGGATCTTTGAGTTTTAGGTTTCTAAATCTATTTCTGAAATAAAAGCTAAACAAACTCATAGTCTGGGACATCCCACATGGGACAAAAAGTGTTCCTGTTAATATCAGTTAATAGGCTTAATGTGGTGCCATCCAGATATCTTGAACTATAACCTCAGGATAAAGGGAATGAAGACCATGCTTGCTAGGAGTTTGGGGCACTATAGACCAACACATTTGAGAATTCTGGGAATTGTAGCCCAACATTTGGCTAGGAATTTATAGATCTTAAGATTAAAACTGATTGATTTAAATGATAGGGACATACATTAAACATACTTATTAAAGAATTGTAATGGGCTGCCTACAAAATAAAAAAGGAAGCCATTCAAAGTTTGACTAAGTGGAAGGAGGAATGCCAGTTGTAAACACAGATCTTCCTGGGGTATTACTTGGTCTAGGTCTATCTGTAATGGTTAATAATCAAACAAGCAACTCATTCACAGAAACATCACTCTCACTAGATCTTGACAGGAGAACGCATTTCAGCCTAAAGGCTGAATTCACTGCCAAGAAGCACAGTTGCAGTCCAAACTGTAAGCAATGGCTCCTCAAAGTGTTTCCCATATATACAAACATATTCCATTTCCACACACTTTCTCTCTTATACCACAGTTCTTTCTCACATACATATACACCATTCTGTCAGTGCCACACAAGCACATTAATGTGCATGTGCATTCCTCCAGTCCTTGAGTCAGAAGCTAAATCTGCCTCAGGTATAAGGCTCATGAACTGTCCTGCCCTTAAACCTTTACTGCAAGACAGCTTAAGGTCAGACATTGGTGGATTCCCCTAGATTTCTTTCCATCAACAGCCAGAAGGAAAATCACCACCAATTGTTCCCCTTAAAGTATGATGGGCAAGGCTTGGGCAAGCACAGACAGGGGCCTGGGACAGAGGTTTTCACCATCTTTCAAAGTGTCCAAGTGATAGATCACTAACATAGAAGACCAGGAGACCTGTGTCCCAAAACAGTTGAGCTGTCAGGTCAATCGGCCACAGGAAGTTACATGGGGTGAAGCAGGGGGGATTCATGAAACACATCATGAGTGTTCCCTCCTGCTTTTTCCCAGGCCTGTCTACCATCTGACCAATCAGTTAACCAGGCTATTTTTGGACACAAATCTCCTGGTCTTCCTGTCACTTGGGCTAGAAGAGGAAGCTAACAGAATTCTTGTTAATTTCACCCCTTTCTCAGATCAGTAAGTGCTGCAAAGGAAGAACTTTTATGGCAGCATTTGGAAGTATGCACACAATGGCATTGGGATATTAGATGCTGCCCCCTGCCCCAAGTAAAGTAAAAAGCATGGCCATGCAAAAACCCTGAAATCTGCAATGCACCAATTTGGGACACAACCAGAAACAGATAGCTTGCAGAACCTTGCTCTCTTTTCCAATTTAAATTGACTTTCTGTATAGCCCTGTTTTTTAAGCACAAGACTACTGCTGTTTCAAAAGACTGCTAAACACTTTTTAAAATAAGTCTTAATGGTCTTCCATAAGAACACTATACCTGTGTCTGTTAGGAGCCCATACAATGCCTGAATGACACTTTACAAAACACTAGTCAGGCATTATATGGGCAGGCAGATGCCTCTGTAGAAGCAGGTGCTTGGTTTCTCCTGCAGTCTAAGCCAAAGTGGTACTCAACAACCAGAGGGAAGGAGGAGTGCCTACAATGGCTGAAAATGACCAATGGGACATGATCAAATCCCAGACCCTGATCACACCAACCTCATCAGAGACCCTGTAGAATGTCTGTATGCCAAGGTAGGTGTTGGGAGAAGAGTAAAAACACCGTCTTAATTCTAGAATACCCAAAGATGAATGTAAGCAGTCTCCATAATGAGTTGGGGATGAGACGAAGGCTAAGTCAGGAGAACGTGTCCTCTAAAAATAGTGAGCAGGGCAGTTTGGGGGCATGTTTGGTTGGATGTAAGGATAAGCCCACTGCCACACACTGCAAGCAGGCTTAACAGTAGTTTTGCAAGATGGAAAGGTAGTTTTTCAAGGCTACATCATTAGTTAGTCCTGTCTTTTCCAAAAACGAGTCCTCTTAAAAATTCCTTCCATCATGGTAA